GTCATCTAAACTGGTAGAAAAAGTGGAGACACCCATTGCTATAATCCCCATATTGAGCACACCACCATACAAATTGGAGGGAACCCCCAGCGGCCAGATTCTCCCTGAGGAGCAGAGGAGTTGGAATGCACATCTAGCATCCTAACTTTTCCAGATACTACCCAAGTAACTGGCTTCTATCTTGCCTATCTCAGAGCACCAACAAGACCTAGCATGTGCTAGTTCCCTCAGGGCTACAGAGAACAAAACAGTAGTTTGAGCTAGTATGTGGGTACTCCACACAGCTCTTCCACCTGATTCAGAGCAGAGTGAATAGGCAAAAAAAACAAAAAAACAAAAACAGGTCCCAGTATCTTCCTGGGAAGGAAAAGAGCTGGACTGAACAACAACTTTCAAGATTTTCCTGGTGCTATCCAAAGGATTTGCTTTTTTCTTACCTATTTCAGAGCACTGTTGGGGCCAAGCATACATTAGACCCCTCAGGGCTGCAGTGAACAAAGTTACACTTTGAAGAAACATGCAGACACTCATCACAGCTCCTCCCTCCAGCTCAACACACAGAAAGTGGATAGAAAAATCCAGCTCCAAACTTCTCTCTGAAGAAAGAGTTCAACCACACATCCAATGTTCGAATTTCCCTGGGAGCTAAGGACAGAAGCTAAATATGGCTTGGACCAGCACAAATGTTTAAGATGCCCACAGAAGCTCTGACCAGGTTGATTGGTGAAGGTGCATGTTCTCCTGTATGAGGCCAATCTGTGAAGACTATGAGAGGTGATGGTTTTTTCTAATGGGTAGATACCAACAAAAAAGAGTCAAAGAAGTGAAGAAACAGAAAAACACATTCCAAACAAAGGAGCAAGATTGAAAAAAAAAAAAAACCCACAAACCAACCCTAATGAAATAGAGATATATAAATTACCTGAAAGTGAATTTAAAATAATAATCTTAAAAATGCTCAACAAGCTCAGGAGAACAATACACAAAGTGAGAATTTCAACAAAGAACTAGAAAATTTTTAAAAGAGCCAAACAGAAATCTTGGAGCTGAAGAATATAACAGAACTAAAAATTTCAATAATGTAATGACTCAAAGCTGAAGCCAAAAAGGCTCAATAAAGTATCAGAGACAGAGAGAAACCTTAGGAGTTTC